TCGCTAAGATCGCTAAGAAATTAGAGAAATGATAGAAATCATAGAAATTAGAGAAAGTTGAGATCCATGATCGATGGATCATCATTCGCTAATTGTAATTGGCGCAGTACTAATGCGTCATAACTAGACTATCACTAATAGCGTCAACAGGCATTATTACAATTTTGTCATCAGTTAGGTTGAGTTTATAAGAAGAAGGGAGTATTGTTGTGAGATCTTCGAGGTCTTTAATAGTAACAGGGACACCATCAACACGCATTATTTCAAGTTTATCCATTTCCAGTTCGTAATGAAAAGGGATTATTTTCTTGAGTTCTTCAGAAATGTGTTTTTCAGACATTTCGAATATTATGTAGAAAGTGTGTATGGAAGTATTTAAAATCTGATCATATAATTTATCAGTGAAAAATCGAAAGCGCCATAAGTCATATGACTTAGTGATAAGTGATGCTCAAATATCAATAAAGTTTCGCTCATAGTTTAGGCTTTATTTACGGGTGAGAGTTTTATGTGTGCTGTAATAAGTTTTTTTGATCGATGCTGGCTACTACGCATAATTCGTCTCTGGCTCAAAAATAAATTTTATAAACCATAATCCGCATACGTTTCTTTATTGCACTCATCATACTAACCCACAGTTTTACTTTCCTTGCAAAAAACTGATCGATTTCAGGGATGTTATACTTTGCTCAAACAATTTAATATTACACAGATCAAGTGCAATAAATTCGTTACTAAATGGCAAACATTGAAGAAATCATTTGTTATATGCAGAAATCCTTCTTTTCATGAGAAGTATTCAGTTTAAGTCTTTTTAAACAACTGTTCCCATCAATAATAAATGAGGCATGGAAGCGTTTATCAACACAAAAGCGCAATTCACTCTCTTCTATTAATGCCAGCTATGAAGATCCTAGTAAAGGCACTTTTAAGACGTGAAATTGTAAGATATGATCAAAAAACGAAACGGCAATTAACTAATAGTTTATATATATACAGTATAAAAACTGGGACGCAAATAGGAACTACTGATTTCTCAGACAAAGTGGATAAGGCAACACAAACAGAAGATATTAATTTCTTGGTTAAAATAGAGCAAGCTAATATATTATTAATGAATGCAATAAATATTTTGGCAAGCCTTCGCTTATAAATTTGCATAACTTCCCAGGATTTCTTAACATTTTTTTCCTATAAATAGCTAGCCCACAAATTTTTCGGCAAGACTCTTTTAGCAAAATTCTTAGTGAACTTGCAGAATACCCAAACTTCTGGGAAGCAACAGACTTCCTAGAATATCTGGATTTTTCAATTTCTCAGAAAATTTCTAAGCTATATACTTACTATACTTTTTGGACAATTAATCCACTATGTTTAGCCAACCACAATTTAATAATCATTATGAGGATTTGCTCAAACAATTACCCCCATCTGTGAAAAGGATGTATAGCTACGACTTGTGACCAGTAAAATAAGGGTATATAGCAAACATGTAATATATAGTTGATACTATATGTATTGTATGGTAGGGTATACCCTCATATATGGTATGTATAGAATGTATAGATTTTTAGATTAATAATGAAAATAAACAATAAAAAGAAATTAAAATAAAATAAAAATAGGAAAAAAAAAGATAAAAAAACAAAAAAGTAGCAGAAATTAAAAAACTAAAATGACATAATATTAAATATTATAGATTTATTATTAACAATAAAAAAGAGCAAAATTTGGGCTTGGGTGTATATAAATTTAAATAAAAATAATTTTTGTGTTTTTGGTTTATCTATATATTTATAAATGAAAAATTTGTCATACCCCTATATAAATAAATTTAATTTCTTATGAGTCATCACTATGTAATTTCTATTGTAATTTTGTAAATGTTGCTGTCATCACTTTATATAATACATTAAGAAATATTTATTTTTTAAATAATTTTTTTGCAAATTTTATGTATGGCCAAAAATAAGTATAGCATATATAGTATATATTCATTTTTAATCATACACTACATATTTTATAATCACCTCAAAAATAACCCCCCCTCCTCTTATCTAAAGAATAAGTTAGGGATATCCATCTGGATATTGAGGAGTTGTTTAATAAGAAAGTTAATAAATACTTTAAAAAAAAGATCATTAAAAAATTAAGATTAAAGTAAATACTGCCTTTGATAGTTTTAATACATTATTCTGACTGAATGAATTTGAGAAGCAGTTAAAGGAGTGTGAGGCTTTACTAAAGCAGAAGGAAAATAATATTAAGAATACTGTTGAGGTTCAGATTAGTGAGAAATGCAAACGTTTAAAAGATGAGTATAATACTCTTAAGGATTGCCTAGAGGGTAAATATAATAAATGCATGATAGATATAAAACAGATAATATATTCCTTTAAGCATCAGCTAAAAAATCAGCATAAAACTTGCTCTAATAACTTAGAAAGAAAATATAAATCTTATATCTTCACATTAAAAAAAGCTATGATTAAGAAAAATAAAGAAATTAGCAAGTTATCTACTACTATTTTTCAGACTAAAAAGGATAAAAATGATTTGAAAAAAAGTTTCGCATTTGCTAAAAAGACTATTAAAGCATTAGATGATATCTATAATAAGGATTAGATAATTATTGTTTATAATAAAGAAGTTCAAATAATTAATCCTGGTTGTATAGATAATACTATAGAACTAACTAGTCTTTATAAAAAAGATGTCTAAGTTTTGTGAAATAAATGGCGTGATGATATTTCAAATGATCTTACTATCTGAAAAAAATATACTTTTCTATCATGTATTTATACAAGTCTTTCAAATACTTCATACCAAAAATAGTCAAATAGGTATAGTATTTTTTTTTAAGTACTGCTAAGAAATTTCCTAAATTACTGAACACTGTAGAAAAATTTCTGGAACTATTTTCTATGGAAATAAAAATTTTTATTACATAAAGTCTTTCTAGATAAATACTGTTTAAGCTTAGATAGATAAATAAATTCTTTTTTACAATACTAACATATATAAACAACTATTTTTTTATAGGTTCTAATTTTTTCCTAACAGTAAAGACATTTCACTAGAATTTTTGAATAGATAGAAGAATAGTAATAGTCTTTCTATCTCGAGTTGCTCTAAATTTTCCTTTACTAAGGGTTCTCATCCTGCTCGATATTGCCATTATGTATCAAGAATAGTATTCCGCATGGATTGGATCAGATTAGATTTGGATAAAATTTGATTCAATCTGAATCTGAAAAATCTGAATCCAATTCGATCTGAATTTGACAATTCTGAATCCAATTTGATCTGAATCTGACAAATCTGAATCTGAATCCGTATCTGAATCTGACAAATCGAATCTGTATCCATATCTGACGAATCAAAAATTTTTTTAACAAAATCTGCCTCTGACGTTCGGAACGGCATTTTAACGTTAAAAATAATAACAATTTTGTTATTTTTTTAACAAAAATCTGCTTCCGACATTTAGATCAGCATTTTTATATAAAAAATTAATAAAAATTAATTTTTTATTAATAAATGCCACGCCTGACTTTTAGGGTGGCATTTTTATATAAAAAATTAATAAAAATTAATTTTTTATTAATAAATGCCCCATCTGACTTTCAGGGTGGCATTTTAATATAAAAAATTAATAAAAATTAATTGTTTTATTAATAAATGCTGCATTTGTCTTTAAGGCGGCATTTTTATATAAAAAATTAATAAAAATTGATTTTTTTATTAATAAATGCTGCATCTGACTTTTGGGCGGCATTTTAATATAAAAAATTA